AACTACCATTTTTAAGGACTTTGGTATGTCCAGGTTGGGGACAGAACCCAATGCTTTCCTCACCTCGTCGAACGCTCAACATTCAAGCCAAAAGCAAGGTGTTGCCAAGCAAGGCGCTAGGAAATAGAATCTAGTTAGAAGTAGAAAAAAAATAAAGATCACAAATATTGCAATGGTCGCAGCAGCTTTATTTTGATCGCTTTTGTGTCCAAAAATAGAGGACACTAAAGCAAATCCCCAGTTCTGCAGGGTTTTTTTCATAGGTCGCATCATTCTGATCCCCCAACTGCAGGGATGGACATAATTTCCTTGTTTAAAAATGTCAGCCCGACATTCTAATTTATAATATATCAGACATTTCTGTAATCAGTGCATTGAATTACATTGAAATAAATATGTTCAGTTACATCCACCTTACAGAAACAAAATATCGGATTAGTGGTTACCTGTAATGACGAAAAATTGTAAGCATTATATTGTATAGTAAAGAATAAAGGTCCTCCATTCTAATATTTTTATTAACATAGAATATTCATATTTTACTTCATACAATATCTTCATAATTGTATTAGTAGGTAATGGATGAAATAGAGAGTGCTACCATTTCATCGAGCGGTGTCGTCAGTAACCTATGTAGCTCAGATTGTCGTAATCTGGCTGTAATGGCATATGTTATACGTCGAATACACGATTAAGTTGTAGAAAATGATATATTGAAATAAAAGTGACAAACATGATATATATACTCAAACAGAATCGACGCGTGGCTTACAAACTGTCACTGGAAAACACGTTAAATGTGTCCTTGACATTATCAACTGTAGAGTCCTGGTCGCTCCCGCGTTTTTATCATGTTCCGCTTTGTCACACACTGTGATCATTACTGCGATGTGTACATATGATAAAACATGGCTCTAAAGTACACGATAATAAAATGGCTTCACACATATCCACACTAGATTTACAACAAGAGTTAACACATATTTCCTGCGGTGGTTTAACTCTCGTAGGCCTATTTTGTAGCTCCTTCTTGTAAAGAACGGTGGGCGTGTCGGCTTCTCGTGGAGTCTGTAACGTTGATGGTCCGCTCCCTGCAGGTAGGGCGTAAGAATTGTACCTGCTGCCCCCATTGCATGATCGTAAGAGGCGACTAAATTTATGATATTTTTAGCGTTAGCAATATTGGTATATTTTAAGACAACCCAGAACACGCAAGTAAAGACAAAATGGCTGGTATTTAGGTCAATTATAGTTGAACACTAGGTCATTGTTCCAAGTCGCTCTGTAGCTTCACATCAAGAAAATGTATTCATTGATAAGATAAGATGATATTAACGGTTCGATTCGTATTCCTAGTTGACATCGGTGACTTGCCGCAGTTTGAGGTTTACGAATCTTCAAAACTATACATTATCATGACTTTTCCCGGTCGTGGTCCTTATCTTACCAAAGCAACCACCAAGTAATGAAAATACTGCTCTAAAACACCATCACAACGTGCATTATATATGGCTCACTTTTGGCCTTTAGTTGAGCGTTCGCCCATGTGAGGAAGGCTTTGGGTTCTTTAACAATTATAGTTTCTACTTCTACTTAACGCTCATAAGTAAAACGACTGGTTCACCCGTTTTTCAGTGAGGTAGCACTATAAATTCGGCATCAGTTCCGCTATTACAAGGAGACAAACACGTACATATCGCAGCCTTCCAAAACACACGCATACACTACACGCATGCATCTTGCACACAGGGATGGCCGACCTTAAATGGCTAAAGCTGTTGATAGGACGTTAAACAATGCTAAACCAACCCAAATTAATCAGGGTTTTCTATATCTGGGTTCCTACCTAGTCTCGTCGTGGTTGCCATTTTTCGAAGGGGAAATACATAACCAATTCGTGTTATCTTTCTGTGGCTACGACGGCACACGGTACATGCTTATTGTGAGAAAAAAAAATGACGGCGTCATGAAACGTAGTCGGAAAATTCAAGTCATGCTGTCCATGTCGTATAATTGAAAAGTGTCCCGCAGGAAAGCACTGGACTCCAAATGGCAAAAGGACCTGTGCCGACCTACACACCTCTTTTATACACACGTACACGCCCCTTTCACGTTATAGATCACATGCATGCTTTTCAAACTCGTACCCACTTCCAGGACAACAACCGGACAATAAAGTTACAGACAAATATAGACAGAATTCACATGGACTCTATAAATAGACATGGGGGGATACCCTTTATCACACCGACAGCAGGACACGCCCTATAAACAGTAAAGCACATACACAACGAAAAGACCCTACGACATAACGTTATAGCTCTTTAATATTAAAAAAAACTGTTAAATGCTTTGCTTAAGTAGAAAATTAACCAATATTTTCTCTTCAGGAAAAGAAAGATCATCATGGGCTTTATTTCAATTGTAAATTTCAGGACCCACGAGCTATCCGTTCGCCCTTGGGGAGGGGGTACACTTTACTATAGTTTATATAGGGAAATAACACTTTTGGGTATATATTTTTCCATTTTCAGCAGAAAATTACTCAAACTTAGTCAGAATCATCTTTGGTGAATGAGAGTATTACTTTGTTAAATTGGGATTCCTGCCCCATCCCCAGGGGCTAGGGCGGGGCCCCAAAGGGAACATTTACCAATATTTTCAAATTCTTATCCTTTGATGACATGACAAGTATTGTATTTCACTTAGTTTACATGCTGATTTCCACATCACATCTAAACAATAAAATAAAGCTACCAGTACCTATGATATAACTCAGGTGACCGCTAAGGCCCTTGGGCCGCTTGTTTTCATGGTCACAGGGGTCAAATGTCTTAAACAATTGAAACGATTTCTTCTGAAGAACTGAAAGCTATGTAATCTTTATATTAGGCTGGTGGCTTCCTGGGATAGAGCCCGACAAAATGTAAAAACGAAAATGACCTTGACCTACTTTCAAGGTCGCAGGAGTCGGATATGTCTAATGCTTAAAACGACTTCTTCTGAATAACTGAAAGTTATAGAACCTAAATATTTGGCTTGTAGCTTTCTGGGATAGATCCAAACAAATTAATTTGAGAATGAAAATGACCTTCATCTACTTTTAAGGTCACAGGAATCAGATATGTCCAACACACAGAAATCATCTACAGATCGGTGTAGGATGTCATTCCGATAAATTTTATGTCTTAAGTTTTTCTGTAGCATTTACCGTTAACGTTGTACGCCATTTTGAAATACTTCCATTGATCTTTTAAAAATATCCCAATATGTTAAAACTTGTTTTACTCCAATATCAATGACAAACATTTCGTTTAGTTATAACGGAAAAGGTTCCCCAGGAGTCCTCTCACATTTGGTATCATTTTCAACTTCATAAAAATAAAATGGCCGCCATGACGTCATATCTGATTTTGTTCTCTAATTGCAATACCTCATTAACGGATGAATGTATTTAATTCATCTTTGGATATGTTGTGCAGAATAACAAATAAAAAGAATAATTAAGGAAACATTTTTGTGTCAAAGGTCAACTTCCGGTTTTCGGCAGGGGTCAAAATCCAAATGCACTATTGAGTAACAAACTTTTAAAATTTTCCGTCTTAAGTTCCACGAGGTCTAGAGTATTCATATTTCATATTTAGGATGTTGAAATGTTTGAGTATCGGATTTGAAAAAATAGTTGACCTTGATGATGTATTTAGGTGCACATTTCCGGCAGAAAAAAATTTAAGTCGACCAGGTCAAGTTTTGAGTTATTTAGGGGTCGAATTTCATATGTGCTATTTCAAGATAATGACTTCAAAAAACTTCTTCTGAAGTTCTACAAGGTCAAGAGTCCTACTATTTAATACATAACATGTTCAGGTATTTGACTATTAAGTTTGAAAAAATAATTGATCTTGAATGACTTTCAAGGTCACAGAGGTCATATATATAAAAGTATTGAAACCACTTTTTCTGAATAACCAATAATTCAAGGGTAACGATGTTGGGCAAGAAGTATGCTTGAATGAAGGGCTTTAAAGTTTGTGCAAATGAATGACCTTGGACTACTCTAAATATAATTTCAACGGTGAAAGTCAAAAACCGTTTTCATTTTTGTGCGATTGAAGTGTTCTTGATTTATATTAAGACATCTAATGCACACTGGTAATACTACATCAATTACTACGCACTCTCAATATTAAAAGTATGGACAGTTTACATCTCTACTGCAGTGGGTAAACATCAGCCTTTCTTTTGCATGGCAAACCCAACCGATATAGACAAAATGCTAGTTTCAAATCATCATCCTGACGTACATTGTTGACGGTCTATATGAATTTTACGGACTACATTCCTATACAACTTAACTCATTGGCTGCCTATATTTATCCATTCTTTCTCTGACGTCATCTCGCACTCGGAGAATCCCCCACTACTCAGTCAGCTTCTGTATACTTACAAAAGTTATTATTAGAAGGCCAAATCAATCCTTAAAGTGAAAAGCCCGTCAATATATTAGCCAACAATTTCTAGTATATATTTGATGCTGATGACCGTGAAAGTAGGTGAAGGTCATTTATTTGAGGATAGTGTTTTAGCACAACATCATAGCATGTGACTTGCCAAGTATCATCACCATAATTTATTTATTATTAAGTTATTTGTTTTCCTCAGAAGGTGACGTTCAAAGGTTTAAACACATTTGACACCTGTAACCTTTATTAAATTTGAGGAATATTAGTAGAACTAAATCCCAGGTACCTGCTGGCCAAATATCGTCACCCTGGGTAATTTTGTTATTCCGAAGAAAGTGTTTAAAGGTTTTTAACACTTTGGGAAAGAGACCGAAATAGATGTGCTATCCGTATTGATGTTTTTGGGATATTTTTCGTATTCTTTAATCCCGTCTTCATTCTTTCGGCGGCGTCTCTCTAGGTACACATCCTCATATGACACTGGCTGTTGCGATAACGTTCAACCAAGACAAAAACAAAACAAATTTGATAGTCAAGTTTATTGAGAAGTCGAAATCAGCATCATTTGACAATTGAATGATAAAGCAAGACGTCACATTACCCCATCATGGCCAATAAATAATGTACAGTTTGAAATCTGATGTTTTCTTAAAGCTACAATTTCGTCGAATATTTGTCTACAATTTAGTTCGTGATGATTGAACGCTTATGTTCAAATTTCGCTCTTAAAACATTATCCAAAACAGTTTGTTTGGTCGATCACACAAACGAATGGGCATAGGGCTTTACAATGAACATCATCGAATTTGTTTAGTAAACCGTACCGAACACATTCTCCATTACCAGAAGGATTAATGCCGGCCCAGAAGCTTCTCGAAGTGTTCATAGGTTGTCCGTTCATCCATTCCCATCCACTGATTGTGTTTACTCCACCAATCCACCAGTGTTTCTCAGACTGTGATTCTAAATGCGTTGGAAATGATAAATTTTACTCTTTAGCAGAGGATGAAGCATGTCAATTTCATGTCCAAAGTGACTACAAAAACAGTGCTTAAATGAATCTGTTTTGATTAAAATAAGTTCAAATTGTAAAGATAGTTTTCATTATACATTACATCAAAATAAAGTGATAAACTTTGATATAGTTTTCATTTTGTAATAATCTAGTTCAGGAAAAATGAAGAAAGTGTATCCTGAGCCCAGAGTTCAAGATTTCTATGTATTTAAAATTTACGTAGATAGTGAAATGGACGATAACTGAAAATTTAGAACAATGTTGTTCCTCTTCCCTAGAAATCAGAAAAATGGATAAACACAATATTTGTCAACACATACAAACAGAAAGATTTTTTGAAACAAAAGCGTGGATTTTATAAAGCAACTTTAACGAGAAGATTAACATTTTAAAATTGAAAAAGGATTATATACGCAATTTTGCCTTTTTCGCTTTGTTTCTACACACATGTTTGTTTGTAACCCTGTAGACTTTAAATTTCCTTTTTGTATACTTTGATTTTCATTTAGTGTCATTGATAACTAAATGGAAGACATGGTTTGATGGCACAGACAAACGTTTCTTTGTTTCGTCTTATTATCATGTTACTTCGTGAAGATTTTCCATATGAATATATCCTTCGTGTTCATATTTTGCTCTAATTTTATTGATTCTGAGAGCGTATAATGGTTTAACTGACACTTCAGTACTCTGTTGTTTTTCAATTCTCAATTGAAAAAAATGTTTTCACATTGTTAACTCACCGGACCATATACTTTGTATTTGTTATGTGTGTGTGTGTGTGATGTAGGCAATATACTGGTGTATTGTCGCCTTCCGACAGTGATGATCTGATGTCGACTTTAAAGTGCTACCTCAATGAAATACAAATTGAAAAAAGTGATTTTAATCTGTTCATTCGTTTATTATTTACTTTACTGGCTCCATAAAGTCTTTTTCTTCTATGTTGAAAATTATATTGAGATGACAAATATGGAATTTTGTTCCAGGAGTACTGTTTTGAATGTTTTTTCTCAAATATTTTATACCGTCGTGCCCATTTCCTTTTGTAATCCAAAACTAGATCCCCCTTCTCTAGGTAAGCTCATGATGCAGTAACACGACAAGCCGACATGTTTTGTAGACATAATATGAAATATCCATTATGCAGAATGATACCGTATACCGGGACACTTTCGCCAAGTCAAAAGTTCGCCATTCACTGGAATAATTCATTTTCACCCAGTGTTATTTTCTCCCTTTATTACTACATATAGGTATGTTGTGTGATTATTTTCAATGTCGTGGTTATGTAAACTCGTCCTCATTACGAAGGGCGAAAAAGACGAACGTTAAACTGCGGCGAAAATTTTCGGTATACATTAACAATAAAAAACTTCATTATTCTCTTGATTTAATGAATAATTACCTGACTTCTGATTCAAGATCAATCTGAATTCTTCCAGCTTTTCAATGCTGTCCAGTATAGCAAGATGTCCTTTGAAGCTCACACATGTCCTATTAGCTTGATGAAACGGCACATGCATATAAAAGAATCCAAGTTCTTCACCGTCCTCCGTTTCAACACATTGCTGAGAAGCTGTAAATAATAATATACAACATTTGATATAGCGCCCTATCTAGCTATCATAAGCCACTCTAAAGCGCTTTAAAGTACAACGATATATAATCAATACAATTACCATATACGTAAATCAATACAATTTTGAGGAATTCGCAGTAGCTGCCTTATAAGGCGTTAACAATTAGTCCTATGCCACCTTGCTAATATATTCTTATATGTGTATGCCTGCGTGTGTGCTGGAGATGTAATGTGATTCTGTTTGTAGTGGGACCGTAGTTCCGTGAATGCTACAGTACAGATACCGCAACATCCACCCCAGACCAATTTATACGCATGGGCCGGCGAAAAACACTTCTCTGAATATCCATGCCTACGACCACTTCGAGGATCGAACCCCGGCCGCCTGCGTGGAAGCCCTGAGTTTTAACCATTCGCCCAATCCGCCCATCAATAGAGAGTAGAGACTAACGAATTACATCTCAATTAATTGTTTAAATGACATATTTCCCCTATTATTTAGTAGCATGTGATACAAAATATCAAATATTGATCCATAATTTAAATTTGCGTGAATTATCATTGAAATATTTTGATTCGAGCAGATCTAATTTTGTACCTACACTATATGAGTTAATTATATTCAATATTTTGTAACTGAAAACTTGATATCACTACATGTACATTATTCTTAATTTACAAATACTACGTCATATTACCTTTCCAGAATGACGTGTTAGCTACTGGTACTTGTCCTTCCAGAAAAGAGTAAAGCTTACATTCTTGTGTTGAGCTGCAGAATGTTGCAAACAGGCAATGCTGTGTGAGAGTACAAAACCAAATGCATTCTTGTAGAACCCTCACTGTAGACTTTGATAGAAAAGATTGGAACTCTGTGTTAGCATAGTCTACATTACGCCTCCACATAGAACTGCGAACCCCTGCAGATATATATATATATGTATACACGATAATATTACAATAAAGGCCCACAGGTGCAAATATAACAAGAGATCCTAGAGAGATCTTGGCATCAGCCATCATACTATCCTCATTAGTTCTATAACAGTTTGATCTTTTCCTCTTATCTGATCGAGTCATATAAACAGTAAATGTACCTAGAGGTAACTTTTGATCTTATCTTCATCTTCTGTGTTTAACAGACAACCTTGAAAGTGAGTTTGTTGTTTTACATATTTATTAGTACAGTATTTAACGTGAAAAAAATAGAACCGATCATTGCAATATGAGAAAGTTCTTCCTGCGAAAATTCGGTAATAGTCTTGAAATGTTAAAATCCAAGATATCGCCTTCAGCAATTTTGTTTAAATGATCAATCTTTGAATGCAACATGAAACTAGAATTATGTCAGTGTGACATTAAAGCCGCTCACCACTTTAAATTTAATTGCTTCAGTAACACGTTGAGCATCTATATCTACTATAATACCTCAGACATGTGTTCTGTATTCTGCCAATTGAAAATCAGGTCATGTGATGAAGTTGCCTTTGGAATTTCCAAAATCAATCGCCTCTTAAATGATGCCTTAAAAAAATTCTCCCTCTCCTTTTTTCATCTTTTTTAAGTGCGACGCATTGTTGTAATTTTCATTAATTAGCATCCTCCGATGATGTGACATGAGCATTTACGTGCATAATGGCAATCGGTGAATGGATAATAAAGAATAGGTAAATTTTGTGCTTGTGAAATGAAGGATAATTAACAGTAGTGGGAAAAAATGCATAGAGAAAAGAGACATTGTACTTTTATTTTTATTGATTTTTTATTCATATTAATAATAACTATTAATATATGTAGTGACTTTATTTACTGTCATTGAATATACAAATTCTCACAAATGTTTCTCAGTGCGACTTTACCAATGTAAGAGTTATTTCCCTTACACCGGATTGGATAATATTTTGACACTGTGCGAATTCTTGTAAAACAGCAGCGGCAGTTGTGTCATGCTCTTATATTGTTACATTTTCATTAATTAATACACCAGAACAAGCATGCTGTGTTACAGAAATGTTTGATTAGCATACACGGTTCACATATCGTCTCGTCTCAACCCATTACCGTTATCAACCTAACTTCCTAAGCACGATATGTCATATTACGTTCCCGTTTGAAACATCAAAATAAAGGTTATACTTCATCACTGATACGGTTTATAAGTATATATATTTACTTCTTCCTTCTCCAGACAGCGTCAATGCTTGACAGTCTTCACATGTGATTTCTCGAATCATGTGTTTCACACGCTTAAACCTCATCAGGCCTAAATCCGAGTTGCTAAAACACTCAAACCCAGTGCACGAATTTCACCACCACAACACTCGTATAATGCACCGGAGATAAACATTTCGTTTTCAGCAATTATTTAAAGTATAGGTTATTAGTTGGAGAAGAGTATCGAAGGCTTTATTTAACCCACAGGTGAGTGTCAGAGATTCTACTTTCAATTTACGATAACGAAACTATATAGCGGAAGCATGAAAGACTGAATTATGCGCACGCACCCCGAAAGGAAGTGGGTCCGTCATTTCGTTCTCTGGACAGAATTAATAAGCCGCTCAGCTCTCGCCAAGAGCGGCTTAAAAATAAGGACTAAGAAGACTCTTAATATGAAATACGAGTAAAATCTTAGAAATAACAAACTTTTACTGTCATAATCCAAGATGGCCGCCTGTCAATTATTATCTTTATTCTTTTAGTCTCAAAAGTCAACATGCACAATGAAGGGGAACATACATCTTAAATTTGAGAAAGATCCCTCCAGCATCTCATGGGAAATAGCTATGACAAACTTTAACTCACAAAGTTTAAAATGGCCTATTGTCCGCCATATTAGTTGTCCCTTCAGTCCCAAAATTCGAGAGGCATAACGAGGGACCATGGATAAACACCAGATTCAATTTGAGAAAGATCCCTCCGGTACTGTCATAAAATGTGTTAACAAACTTTAACTCTCAAATTAAAGATAACTGCATGTCGGCTATCTTGGTTATCGTTCAGTACCGAAGTTTTATATACGTAAACAAGATTCATAGGGGCACGAACAAGGGCAATTTGAATAGCCCACCATCTGCTAATGCATCTACAATAGACATCAGTGAAGGAACGTTAACGTAAGGCACACCCAATGTGCTTGTGCGTATACCATTTGGTTATTGATACAGTGAACTTAAAATAAATTATTCAGCACAATGTAGCTGTTTGGTCCGTGTTGGGCTCATTGGTGATGCTAGGGGCATAAAACAAATCTTTCAACTAATAACATAAAAATGACATGTGTGATAAAAAATACATTATTTTGTCTTGCTTATGGCTGATGCAGTAAATTTTCCTAATAAATGACACAGGTGTAAAATTAATTATGGGGATACCTTAAAGCTTACTAATTTGTACCATTAACAATGCACCGTCGTTGTGATCTATTTATGACAGTGATGACGAAATCTAAAAAGAGGTGAATTCATTTTAGTATAATTTTGTTTTTGATCATTCAAATTCTTCTACTGTATGACTAGGCATTTCATATGACATTATAAAGCATTGTGTAAAAATTACATCTGCTGGATCATTGTCTGAGTACAGATAATTGCACACTAAGGGCGTTGCACATTTTGGCACGGCGTAGGGCCTATATCTCTCTCCTGGACATCTAAGCCATAATGGCAAAATATTCTCCAAATGAGACCCAAGGGAATATGCCAGACCCGAAGGCCAATCCTTGTAGCATATCTGTATTAGATTTGTTATGCCCAGCAATTTTATGTATGGTTATGGGGTGGGGATCTCAACTGTTTCCAAGCTGTGACTCAGAAACGAGGTCTCTAGGGTTGTGGCCAGACCCCAGGATCAATTATAATATCATGACTGCATTCGTCTCTTTATGTCCAACAGTTGTATATATAGTTTTTTGGGGTGGGGATTTCAACCGTTTTCAAAGTTATGACCCAGGGTCTGCAAGGGTGGGGCAGACCCTGGGGCCAATTCTAATATCATGACTTATCATCTTTATATTCAGCAATTGTCTATATGGTTATAGGGTGGGGATCTCAACTGTTTTCAAGCTGTGACTAAGAAACTAGGTCCCTAGGGTCTATTCTAATATCATGACTGCATTCGTCTCTTTATGCCCAGCGTCTGTATATATAGTTTTGGGGTGGGGATCTCAACTGTTTTAAAGTTAGGCCCCAGGGACTATGTCTCCAAGGGTGGGACCAGACCCTAGGGCCATCCTGGAAACAAATGTGCATTCTTCTCTTTATACTCAGCAATTGTATATGTGGTTATATGGTAGAGATCTCAACCATTTCCAAGCAATAAACATTGTTTGGCCCCAACTCTTAGCCCGGGGGGTCAGCACCACCATTTGTACAATTTTGAATCCCTGCCTCCCATGAATGCTTTCGACCAAATATGATCGATATCCATGGGAAAGTTCTACAGAAGAAGTCATTTATAGCAATATATCCAAATTTCCCCTTTTGGCCCCGCCTTCAGTCCCCTGGGGGTCAGCCCCACCATTTGTTCAATTTTGAATCCCCACCACCTACGGATGCTTCCAGTCAAATATGGTTGATATCAGTCTCTTAGTTCCAGAGAAGAAGTCGCTTAAAGCAATAGAGCAAAATAACCATTTTTGGCCTCGCCCTTCAGCCCCCACTGGGGGGTCAGCCCCACCATTTGTACAATTTTGAATCCCTGCATCCCATGAATGCTTTTGATTAAATATGATTGATATCCAGTGCATAGTTATACAGAAGAAGTCGTTTGTAGTAATATAGCCAAATTGCCCCTTTTTGGCCACGAGCCTCAGCCCCCTGGGGGGTCAACTCCACAATTTCTACAATTTTGAATCTCCGCCACCTAGGGATGCTTCCAGTCAAATAAGGTTGATATCCATCTCTTAGTTCCTGAGAAGAAGTCGCTTAAAGCAATATAGCCAAATTGCCCCCTTTTTGCTCCGCCCCTCAGCCCCCTGGGGGTCAGCCCCACCATTTGTACTATTTTGAATCCCCACCACCTAGGGATGCTTCCAGTCAAATGTAGTACATTTTTGTAATCAGTGGTTAAGAAGAAGAAGTCTTTTAAAGAAATTGTTGACAGACTGACGACGGACGCCACGGTATGGCATAAGCTCACCTTGATCCTTTGGACCCAGTGAGCTAAAAACAGACTTCATCAAAGCGTTTTAATAGAACGTGTATATTTGGCGAATCTGTTCTATATCTAACCATCAACTGTTTAACCGTCACATTTACTTTCTGCCGAATGAAATACAAATCACCTAGTAACGAACTACGATGAGATGAAAACACGAAGCTCTTCTTTATCAGACATTTTTGACAACTTGAATTAATTAGGTTTATGTACCAAAAATATATCATAATAACGTATTTCAATTCACTTCATCAATAATGATATTAGTTCACAAGTATATATATCTACAGACCTGCAAGCATTTCCAAAGAAAATAACACCATGAAAGGCAGATGTCGCTTAATTTCCATTTTTGCCTGTAAAGAACAAAAAAGAAACATACATGTATCAATAAGTTTAATTTAGGCATTTATCATCACAATATATCATTTCTTAGAACAATCAGGTTTGGGTTTAGTTTCATTTTGTACAACGTCCAATAATATAAAAGCTAAGGTTATTTAGAAATACATTAGTTACTGCAGCCGGTCGTAAGATGACTTGGCCACTTAAACGCGTCATCTTACTTATATAAAAATATTTAATAACAAGCTAGCCAGATGTTCCTGGAAAGACAACCTCACAAACGAAGAAAAGCCAATATAGAGCTGAAAGGTTTAAATATGGATATGAGTTCTAGCCATTGCGAAGTTTATATACAGATGGCGTCAACTGATTGTCGCCGGCTCAAGGGCCGATTGTCAGCACACAAAATGCAAGCAATTGACAAGATACAATGACACTTCACCGGAAAGAAACAAAAGATACGTAGAATAAATGTCATCAGTAATAGGTACAGAATGTGATCGGGTCGAGAACCTTCAGGTTGTCCTCGAGTAGTCCCATCATCTGTGGTCATCTCTTCATATGACCTCAGCTTGTACGATAACGAGAAACATGCTCACCTCAGGGTTGATAATCGCAATCTAGACTAACACAGAAATAAAAAGAACGTCGATTGATTTTAAATAAATATAATTATTTAAAAAAATAAATGTTGTTACACTAGTAGGTGTTACGTCCTATTAACAGCTGTCATTTGAGGACGTGCACCCTTAAGGACTTACCACCCTTCGTAATACACATGATTTTCTTGTCGTATTTTCGTGTCGTCATTTCCGTATTGCGTATCGAGCATTCCAATACCGTAGTGTACATTATAGTAACACCGGGTAAACAATAGTACACGTGCGTGACGATGATATGTCTCAACACCCGATATCGAGACTTCACTTCGAAATGTGTAATCACACGTACTTCAGAAATAAAGCTTACGATACAAAGACATTAATTAACTCACGGGAAGACACTGACATAAGAGCAGACGACTTCAAGAAGGTCGTATACGAGGCGCATGGAATGAAGGCTGATGTGTTTTGTTTACCGACATTACCTGTACATATTACGCGCTAACAGTAGTTCACAAGCTCTGGGTCGCTACGAGTTTTGTTGTCGAGCGAGTTACGCTCTGTGAGATAAATCATTTCACAAAGGCAATTACAATAACTCTGTGAAAATAGTGGTTTGTAAAATCTCAAGATCCCTATAAAATGCAATTGCATGTGCGTGCACGTGATAACGGCATACCATGCGATAGCCTATGGTTACATATGTACCTGACATGTAAATATACCATACGTAAGCGGGCTATGGAATGATGTCCAAAGTGTACATGATTGAGAGTAAAGTTGTTCCATAAAAGAACAGGAGATGACAATTTGACATGGTAAATTAATTTATTTCCTTGGTTTTTGGTATAGTAAAGAAAATAAATGTCATTGGTTAAATCTATCCCTCTGTAAAAGTTCCAATTTTTTTCAAAATAGACAACAGTAAAATGTAAAATAAATGAATTATAAAGACTTTGTGTGCATTTTGTTCAATTTTGTTTGAAACTATGTGTCCTGTTTTCTTTTAGCTTGTTTATAGTAACTTTTATCCATAAAAATTCAATAAAAAACGCTTTGTGTAACATGTTGTAGATATTTTATGATAAACAAAATATTTGTATGGTTGATTAGCAATGCTAATTTTCATTATTTTATTGTTGTTATAGTTTTGAACAATGCTATACACTCAAAACATGTGAAAGTGTTGAATTTGATAAAAAATCAATTTTTCGGTACTTTTTACAAAAAATCTCCAGTTTATCGGAACGCTTAGATTTTCATAAAATCATCTTTACAAAGTGACATAACCATTATGTGAAACTTTCATTGTATTCTGCTGGTTAATTACGAAAGGGTGGAGTCTGCTTCAGTGTAATGCATGCAACAAGTTTGTATGTATGCTTGAGGTGGTGTGTGAATATATATGTCGTATAGTGATAACGGCGATCTGATTCCCAGATTATCATCTAACTGAAATGCTATACCGACGACACCAAGAACAGTGTTCCACCAGGTCATATCATACTCACAATTAGGTGGTATCTTCTTGAAAACATCATAACCTGCTTAAGTGTGCTCTTTTGGTAATATGAAGACGATGTCTGCAGACTATGGTTCCATTCAGAGAGTGCTTCAGCCTGTAATCATGGTGAATGTCACAAACTTGGTACGACTTCAGATATTTACCCACGGTTACCGACAACAAATAGAACTGATGTAGCAAGGGAATCGAATATTTAATGACGCATGCGTTTTTTTCCTTTTTGTGTGTTTGGAAGAAACAAACCTGGTGTTTTATAAAAAAAAATAACAGTATTGTATTTTTGTTAATCTTTTACCTAAAATAACCATTGGAATGTTTTTACGAGACTATTATAATAGCTCAGAAACATAGTGAAAATAACAAGCCGTATAGTGTGTTAGTCCTCTCTTACCCTATATCATCACACTGATGCGTTTCAGGCAATATTAATAATTTAAAAACTATAAAAAAAACCTTACCTGAACGAATACATTTTCTGCTGTACCTGACACTAAAGATCACGGCGTATTAACATGTAATTCCTTATAGAACATAGCAGGTATTGTTTTTTTATGTTTTTATTTGTTTATGATTTCATAAGTCTAAGTTCCATAAGATGATGTTGCTTTATAGTAAAACATGTAGTAAAATAGTACACTGCAGAAAAAAAATGTCTCGAAGGGTGCAGCAGATTAACTCTTTCCGTACCGTACACACGACAACAATATGTCATCCTGGTCCCCGTTGTCGTGTATAGACGACAAAATAAAGGTCCGTCTCATCCCCGTTGTCGTGTACACACGACAAGAGACTTTGATGTAACCTGCCTAATGTTTAGTTGGTTATCGCACGAGACTGTTGCGAAAAAACAATTAATTGTCGCTAAAATCAGAACCCATCAGTTTGGAAGAAATAATTTTATTAGTGCAGAGTACACTTTTTTATTATGTGACTTAATGTTTTCGCAAGATGTTTGCGTTTTGTGCCTCAAATGTAAACAAGATGGCGGCAACTTAATTCGATACGAACACTCGTAAATTCATCATTAGATATTTGTTGAGACTTATGGAAGTAAATTTGAATATTCTAATATAAGTCTTGATTAAATCTACTTGTATTTAGAAAAAAATCAACGACTCCACATTCGTAACCATAATCAATCCCCATTGGAAACCAGCACTACATGCGATAGTGTTAACGTTTACCACTGTCCTGGTTAAATGGGGTTATCCACACTGGTTTACCTGACCTCATTTTGAAGAATAGCATCTCACACAACTGTAAAAAAAATATTTCAAAATTCTGCCNCCTACATTACAATATACATACTAGTACATGTATACATGTCCTTTGTTCCTCCAAGTGGATCTAATCGTGAAATGTGCAGGTAGTAGTTACTGCATCGCATATATATTGTATATGGTTGAAGTAGTGTACATATGATCAGGATGGAACAAAGGTCATGTAGAAATGGGTAAATTCAATGGCCTCAACTCGGTGTAGGCGAGCGGATTCTAGACTATCTATGTGTAGTCTCGCTACACGAGTAAATAGTGCTAGGCATTGCTACAAGAGCCGGAAGAGACTTATTGAATCCATACCCCTCAACTCGGTGTAGTATGTGTGTGTATAGCTACAAGAGCCGGAAGAGGGGTATGCCCATATATATGGACAATCTATAGCTAGACGTCCTCAACTCGGTGTAGCGGAGCTATCAAGAGCCGGAAGAGGAGAGCTAGAGAGACCGCAATTAGTGCCATATCCTCAATGTAGTGGTGCTGCCACAAGCTGGGATATAGGATTGGATTCTCTGAATATGGATATGAAGTAGAAATTTTGGGGAGTTTAATTATTAATTGTTTGATTCCAATTTTAAAAATAATAAATAAATAAAGTATGCCAAAAACTCGAGGGTGTGACCGTAGGGAATAGACTGAGTTGCCCCAAAATGTATATATTATATAGTTATAAGGCAAGATATACATATGGATATATCCATCAGTGGTTATGGAACTCGTTACCGACTTGTATTCATATATAGGACTCTCCATCCGAGGACTCACAAGTGTTCTATGTGGTGAACCTGTTCGATTGAAGGTGATGTTAGGGCTTGTCGGAAGGTTATACTAAATCACTGATCTATACATCCATTCTTATATCATATAATTATGACACAATGAGAGATCTTTGAGCATCTCTAACAGTTGATATCGGTGTCTTTATATAACGACAGTAGGCGTCCGAAGACCATCTGCCAAGGGTCTTGATCATGTGATCTTCCATGTGAACTGAAGCAGCTGAAGTTGCTGCACCGATTCTGAAGGAATGTCCATTGTAGGTGCTAGAGTCAATGTCTACACACTCCAAGGTGTGTGTTAGCATGGCAATGAACATTGACCTAGATAATACGCGTCCTTCATGGTTCACGAAAAGTGGGTCAGTTGGCAATGGATTTTCACGAAGTCTATGGTTCTTATATTTGCAGCAGAGTGTGAATGGACATATGGGGTGCTTGGTTCTGAATAGTCTGATAGTTACACCGTTCCTAAAGGGGTTTGTTTTGGATCTTTTAAGTGTCAGAAGTACACAGTCTGTATAAATTACCAAGTCTTGAACACAGAGGTGTACCGTATGATCAAATTTGTCTGTCACTGTGAATTCACCACATCGTAGGAAGCCGAAAAATGCTACAGTGCATACTGTTTCTAACAATAAGTGGTCACATCCACGCGTTCTCAATTGAGCACATATCCTCTGTAGAATTTTAAATGTTATTGGATGTCGTGGTTTGGTTTTCCTCACTTGTAGACGCTTTACTCCATTTAGGATGGCATGAAGGCGGGGCATCTCCTGTGAATTTGGGTAGTGGATGTTGTTCTGAATGCACATGAATCGAATTCCACACAGGTAGAGTTTAATTGTGGTATATGCGATTTGACTATTAAAGCAGTATGCCACAAACTGAATCAGTTGTCCCTCAGACACAGGTAAGCTGGGTAGGTGCACTATAGTTATAAGGCCAACATATAACAGAAATTGTATATACTTATTAACACCAGATTCATATGTCCTCCTAGTAGTGGGGGCTATGGAGGCGGACCATAACTCCTGAATCACTGGTTCGAATTCCACATTACGGATGTTGGTAAGGGTACCTTGCACGGGAAACGGGCTGCGTAGGGTGCCAGTCGTCGGAGTCGGGCTATCTGCAATCGAGACAGAGAATCAGCAATATTGTTAAGATGATCAGGGACATGTTTAGACAACACGGTAAAGTTAAATGTACAGGCACACAAGGTTAGTCGTCGGACTAACGGCATGATGTGAGGAGACTTGGACCTTCCTTTACATAGAATAGCCACGGTGGCAGCGTTGTCACACATGAATACGATACGTTGGCCCACCCACATGTGGCCCCAAATTAAGGCTGCAACTACAATCGGGTACAGTTCTTGAAAGGCTATGGATAGTTCCTTATTGTTTGCGTATGGGTTTTCTAAATCGCGCGGCCATGGTTCAGCAAACCATGATCCTCTGAAATAACCACCATACCCTAGGGTTCCAGAGGCGTCTGTGTACAGGCATATCTCGTCTAAAGTAACCACTTTGTTGTTATAGAAGACAGAGACGCCGTTCCAGTTGGATAGGAAATAAATCCACATCTTGATGTCTTCCCTACATTCGTTATTGAGTTTCACGTAGTGATGTAGCGCCTTGACAGTGGTAGACAAAGTGATTAAATGCGACAGGAAAGAACGACCTTGAATCACGACTCGGCTGGCAACATTTAGATGTCCTAGGGGTTGAAGCAGTTCTCTCTTAGTGCATGAGTGTCGTTGTTGAAATGACTGTAGTGAACTAATAATTCTGTCCAGTTTATCCTCGGGTAACCTGGCCTCCATATTTTCAGAGTCGAGCACTATACCTAGGTATTCCATCACCGTATTTGGTCCACTTGTCTTGTGTTTAGCCATAGGGATACCTAGTCTGTTGAAAATGTGATGAAGAAGGGCCATGTTCCGCTCTCCGCACTTGTCAGGATGTTCGAACTTGATAAAATCATCAAGCAGGTGGAGGATATGTTCCACACCATAACAATTTTCAGCTATCCAACATACTGCTTGAGATAGAGTGTCAAATATTTTCGGACTAGATCTGCAGCCAAATGCGAGTTTGTTATAGAAATAATAGCTGCCGTTCCATTTGATGCAAAACATGTGCCACTGCGTTGGTACCACTGGTATGATCTTAAAGGCATCCGAAATGTCTGTTTTACACATAGTAGTCCCTTTTCCCAATGTTTGTAATTTCTGGATTGCATCATCTACACGAACATATGTTAGAGAGCATGAATCTTTGTCTATTAATTCATTTACACTTGGATGCTGGTCATCTTCATGAGGCGCAGATAAGTCTACAATAAGTCGTGCTTTTCCAGAATATTTTCCAAATGAGACCCCTATAGGGCTTACTCTGTATCGCTCGAACGGCAATTGTTGAAAAGGTCCTTCCAAAAAACCCTTCCTCAATTCATTTTGTACTAGCATGTCTACAACTTCTGGTTGTGTGGTAGCTGAAAGAAGGTTCTTACATTCTTTGGTTTGAAGTTGAGTGTGTGATACAAGTGTATCAAAGCCTGCTGACAAATCCTGACACAAATAATCTACAAATTTCTGATCTGGCTGTAATTTCAATATTCAATTTCAAGTTTTTCGATATTAACTGGTGTATAAACCGTGTTCTCCAGTCATTGTTGCGGAGCTCCTTGTTTCGAACGTTGTCCTTGAATGCTGGACGCATTCCTACATGTATCCGCACCGTGACTAGGTGATTTACACAAGGTACATGCATGGAAAAAATAGCAGGAGTCTACTCGAGGGCATTTCCCTGTGTTGAAATTGTTACACACTTCTTTTCCAATCACTTTTATTTTCTGACGACCATGTTTGTCTAGCTCCTTACTCGGACCCTGTTGCGGACGGCCATTACCACTGGCACTGTACATGTGCTTTCTTTGGCGTTGTTGTGGACAAAAAGGGGTAGTGTGTGATGTCAAGTTGCATAGCTGACAGGAATTTACCCTGGTGTTGCCCATTATCATTGTAAGCATGCTGCTGTCTTTGATGGCCCAGTCTACTTTGGTGTTGTTATCTTTAAGGGCTGCCGCTGCCCTTGCCGAAAATTGACAGTGGTAATCATAGAACTTTTGGCCGTAAACATTGGCTATGTCTATTATGTTGGCCTCGTATCTATCAAGTTCCACTCTTCGTTTTGGGAATTTCCTACACATCGTCCTCTTATATTTCCCGAACGCGGTGATAAACTCGCTGAGTGTAAGGGATTTGTTGAGTCTGGGATCTTCTGATTCGTTTAGATTGTTCAAATTAATGTGGATCGAGGAGTCTTCGTTATACACGTTGGCTTCCCTATTGTCTGGCTTAGGCATCAACAAATTGGCCAAGTTAACATCATGTCCCTCCCGAATGCGTTTCTTTAACTTCTCTGATATGACGTCTTCATGGGGGAGACACTCTGAAGGAACCCCAAATTCTGAATGAGGGAGACGGTACCCACCTGAAATCGTGTTTGTTCTAGTTTCCTCAGTCTCATACTGCATCGCCTCGTAAGCCGTGTTGAGTGTGTTCTCCCGGGTAGTCGGCGTGGAATTAGTAGAATTTCTCCCTACGATACCGAGCACGGTTTGCTGTAGCCCCATAACGGTCTGTTGATTGGTCTGCATAGTAGTGAGAAGGCTTCTTATGGTCTCACCGTCCGGATTCATGGGGGCCGCCATGTTTGTTGTTGATAGCGTAGAAATATATCCATCAGTGCGGTCTGTGATGCGGTCCGCGTCAACCGATTCACCACTGTCTGGGAAAATATCTGCCGAGTCCACGGCGTCAAATAGTTCTGTCTCACTGACGATATTCCGATTTCCCGACCTCGTTGACGCGTTTCCTATAGGTTGTTCTTCATCACGATAATCAACAGTTTCTTCCGTGTTTACAACGGTATTTTGTAGCCTGCTTGTAGGTCTACTGGTTTCAACTCGGCGCGGGTGGCTGGTAACTCTGTTGACAGAATCTCGACGGCTCCTTCCGATGTTCTCCAAGTAGATCGCCTTCAATGTATTCTTGGTTAAAGTCGGAGGCACGGCTATGTTTATATTGGAAAGTTCATCCCTTAACTTTGATACTGTCCAGTTGGCGGGATTCATAGTGTCCCATGGTTCCTTCCGAGTTGATGATCTCCCTCTGCCCCTGGGTCGGGACGCCATTGGAGCGCGAACACAAAGCAATTAAATTTCCCTCGAAATCCGCGAATAGAACACCTATACACACACTGTTCCTCGAAATAGTTCACTAGGTATATATACCAGAAACACGATATAGTATAACGAATTGTAAATCCAGTTAATAAACGCTGTTTGGAATAGTGAAGATGTAAAGAAATAGCAACTTAAAATGACCTGATACTGATAGAGGCTAGCTGTAGAGACTGAGTGACCAGTAGTACAATTGACCAATCAGCAGCCTCTCCATAAAGCCCCTAATAAGGGCATCTGACTGTCCTCCGGCCCTTCGACTGTATATTAGGTTCCAGTTCCTCATAAATAGTATCCTATTGTACATACAGTTAGGGGTGCAAGATCTATTATTTGTCAACATAAACCTGCTTTATCTACATAAACCTCAACATATTTTTCAAATTTACCATTTTTGGAAACAGTCAGGACTATAAGGTATGAAACCAAAATGGGAAGTGGCTGGCTCCAAGGCTTGGGCTGCTAGGTCATGTCTTCTACTGGTACTGAAGAAGGAGATTCCTGCAAGAAAAGACAGGATAATTGAATCAATTTCAAAATGTAAACTTGAATATCTTAATAAACATTATACTTAGACTTATGGTTTTGAGTTTTTATTGAAGTACAGGTAATGTACTACTCAGAAATATAAACAACAAACATTTTGTCCGAAGATCAGGGGAGATAACTCAATTTTAATACCTATACCCCCTTAATTTTGGACTTTATGTAAAAAATTCAGGACACCAGCAATTATTTAGAGAAAAGAGCCAAAAAACAGACACAAAAGTAAAGACTGATAACTGTACAAACAGAACAACACCATAATGATAGGATTACAGAATGTTTACATAACACCAGCTGAGATGAAAGACAGTGATGGGGGAGGGCTGCTAACCAAGTGCAGACACCAGGGGGCAGAGGTCTGCCAGTCAAGTGTCCAGTTTGACCCTAATTAGTGTAAATACTGACACAAGGGTTCTTATTGTTTACTAATGTATATATAAAGGGCAATGATCAGCCCCTGAAACATACCAGAGACAGATACATGCAAAGTGAGAGAGAATTTTGGAACCTCAAAAATGGGGAGACCTCAGAAAAATGCCGGACAGTTTAAGAAAGGACAGCAGCCGTACTACAAGAAAGGAGCGAAAATTGAGAGATGGACTCATTCTGACATGAACCAAGTCCCAACAGTACGGTTAACAAGTGCATTACATGGTTGTGAAAGCCCCAAAGTCCTCACCTGTACATCGGACATCTTCTCACAGGCTGCTCCGTCCTTCACCGGTGGCCAAAGATGAACCACTGAGGTAAGTCAAAATATATAAACCTGAAATATAAAAACACAAATGTAGATACATGTAATTGAAATTCATTAAACATACATTAAATGTACATTTCATGTTTATTATTCAAACATGTCTCTATTTTTTTACAGGGAGAGTGCGGAATACAAGACCAACAGAATAGTAAGCATTGTAAGGATGCGAGATATGTGGAACGATGCTGTACGTCAATATACAACTCATACTCCATGATGCAAGGGAAACCTGGACTTTGATTTTATGACACAGGAGTGCCGGGGCTAGGGTGGCGAATAGGACTCAAATGCACAAAGTGTACATATGTGTCCAGTGTGTATTCTCTGTACGAAGGAAGGAGGGAACGAGGCAGGAAAGGGAGAGACACCGTGCAGATGAATTCTGCAGTGCAAGTTGGACTGACACAGACAAGAATTGGCAATGCCGCACTGCGGCTCACCCTGATGAGTGCCAACATTCCTGCCCCCTCAGAGAGAGGAATGCAGAAGAGTACCAATAAAGTATGTGACCAGATAGAGGAAATCAACAAGACCGACATGGGTGAACTGCGAAAGAGGGTAAAAGAAATCAACA